CCGAATAAAAATGATTTCAGGATTCTAAAACTCATTTAAAGATTATTTTATTAAATATAACAAAAGCAGAACACATTTTAAGTTTGGCATAAAAACAACGTATAGTACAATATATTAGAATACAAAATACTTTTTTTTTGGTAATACTTCTTTTTTCAAAGTTTTAAGCCTATTACAAATATGGGATGTTACATTTGTAGCTTTAGAATGTACATATTTGCAATTTTAATCACAATTCTCCAATGAAGTTAATCACAATGTTATTTCCTTTATTATGCGATTTGCACTTACAAATACTTACAGTGCATAGAAGAATACCAGCCCGACACTCTCTGAACTCGTTGAAAACTTTAACCCGATCCTGAAAATACGGTTAAAAAAACAATATTTTCAAACATATAATATTATAATCTCATTTGAATTACCCTAGAAACCCAAAGTAACTAGTGGTTAGGTTGTAAAGTTAATCTAACTAGGAAATAAGGATAATTTAAGTGGTCAACAAATTTTTTTCCAAAATGAGTGAAGAAACAATGTAAAAATAATATTTGTAATCATTTAGGGAATGGCGCAGCTTCTGTCAGTAATCACATTGAAATGCTAGTTGACCCGAACGTTGAAAACACAACAAATTACTGCTTTTAAACATACCTGTTGGTGCATATTACCATGGAGTTTGAAGAACAAAACTGAATAGCCACTGTCTGCTAAAAGCTTTTGCAACATTTCAGAAAACAAGTCACTGTGAAAGTCAACTACATCCTGGGTTGACATAAATACTAAAGCTTTCAAGCCACCTAAAGCTAACTTGTCAACAATGAAGGAAGACAACGTGATCAGTCGAAGCTTTACTGGGGTTATGATAAAATGCTGTTCCAACTGCGATGGGACTACAAAATCCTCACAGGTCATGGCAACTTCTTCAGAAAGAGCGGCAAGATCAATAACTGCAGGTTTGGTGAGGGTCGTACCAGCTAAGTTTTCAACTTCTACAAAAAAAGAAGTTTCATACCTTCAATCATGCTTTTCATGAATCTTGTTACGTGTCCAAACTCGGACTTAGATTTTAGGAGACAATAAAACTATGATAGGATAAAAATCTTATTAATCTTACAAATAGCAAGAATAAAAATTGACCAAACTTTCAATATTATTCAGATTCACCATACACTTTACATGTCTGAATGTCAGTTGTGTAAAATCCAGAAAAAATAAAGTTTTTATGCAAGGTAGAGAATTGATTTGATGTAAGACAGAGAAACCCATAATATAAAAATTATTATTACCAAAATTTTTGTTTGATTTATTGCAAAGCTATGCAATGGGTTATCTGTGTTCTGTATACTGTGGGGAATCGAACCTTGGATTTTAAGTCCATAAACTTACCACTGACTGACCCAGTGAGGGACTTGCAAAGAAAAAGGAGATAATTTTATTGGTAATACTCCTTTTCAAAAACAAGTGTTTTTTTAAATAAGGTAGAAATTTTATTAACTTGGATCTTGTGGATCTGAAGCCTTGGAAAAAATTACATTTAAAGCCTTAAAAAATTTCATCTGAAGCCTTACATTTAAAATTCTGATTTAAATTATTTTATTAGTAAACCATCCTCAAGACCGTATGCTACCAGTGATAATTACACTTCAGGTTAATATATGAACAATCAATGATTACTGTAACATAAATATTTGACAACACAACAAAAATCTTTATTCAAAAATTCTTCAAATTAATGCTGGTTTTAGTCCTGTATGAACATTTACTAAATTTAATACACACTCTTGTCATGGAGAATACTTATATAGAACATCTATATAGTAGCCTTAATACACATTTCTCTTGCGGAATACTTATATATTAGCCTGAACAATATTAATATAGATAACACGTGTGGAACTGGGTAACTAATGGTATTCGACAACCGACCCCATTAATCTATTAGATTAATTTAATTGGTTACTATAGTGTTCCTCAAACCATTGTTGTATAAGTAAAAAAAGGTAGGTGGAAGATAGTCTTAGTAGCCATTGAATATAAAAGACTGTTTAGATTAAGAGTTATTATTTAGTGATTTAATATCAAATGATTGTTCAGTTTTCATAACAAGAATGTTAAAGTTATTTATTTTAAAAGTGACAGTTATGGCAAGTTTCATTACATAACTCTGTACGAGTCATACAGTGTGTGTAGTTTAATTGTTCTACTAGGCTTTTGTAATATTGTTGACGTCAAGCTTCTAAGTTTTCTCGTTATGTGTCATACTGTTGTTACTAGACAGCTAGATATTTTTAGAGTTTTCTGTCATGTGTTATAAATACGTGCAAATACAGAGAGCAATTAAGTTAGTGGTGACTTTTAAAGTGTTATAATCGTAGATTGTATTGTAATAACAGAGTAGAGAAGAAGACTTCATCTGGTCAATTGTGTTTTAAAGTAATGGAACCAGCATGTTTGGACTTTTAGCATAAAAGAGAATTATTTAAAGCTCTGGATACACTTGTGGTAACCCACGAGGTAATGCAATTAAATTTATTACTGACTGTATTGTAATAACAGAGTAGAGGAGAATAATTTGTCTTGTTAAAGGGTGTTCTAAAGTAATTGAAACAGCCTGTGTTGACCTTGATGAGAAAAAAAAAAGACAGACAATTATTTAAAAGCTCTGGATACAACCATGATAACCTATGATTTTTCTACATACCTTTGACTTGTTTTGAATACATTATTTTAAAACAAGCGGATTGTGTGCTGTCTACTTACTGTTGAAATTTATCACCAACAAGTCACAGACACCTACTGTAAAGAATCATGGCCCTATAAAACCAGACAGTAGCATTGCTGAAAAACGAACAGCAAGCTAGTCTTTTGGCAATAGGAATTGAACCCGAGACTCTCAAGTAACAAGGCCATCCTTCTTCACAGTGACCAACACTGAACAAACTTGAAATAAAAAGAAAACAGCTTACAAGGCTAAAATTGTGCAGAACAGAGAAATCTCATTATGTAGCTTTATACTTAACAACAAACTGTATAGCAATATTTTGATTACTTAGGCAGTTGGAAAATGGTAACAGTCAGAAACCCTAATTTCAATTAGCTGCTTATTTTCATGACAAGTGATATAATTGGAATTTTGATTAATCAGCTGTTGGAATAATCAAAAACATTGATTTCAATTAATAAACTAAACAGTAATTTTGATTAATCAATCAGTTTATGTGACACTTAATCAAGATAACAGCCAATCCAAGGTTATCAATTATATTTAATAATTGATTAAATCACCCAGTTTTACACAAATGGCAGATGTATTAATCTTCATTTCCAGGAAGAAGAGACTTCCACTGTGAAACTGGGGAAATAATGAAACAACCAACTATATATTATTAATACAACAGGATTTACAAGATGATGATTTTGTTAACTTAGTTAAGATCTTTAACAGGTCTTTTATTATCATTATTTTCCTTTATTATTATTATCTTTTTTTATTACTACATCATCAAGAACTGTAACTGTAGAATTATTAATAACAACTTAGCATTATGTGTTTCTCTTGGAAATTACTTTATAACTTCTGCAATACAATACATTGGTGGTTTCCAAGTCAAATACCTTTAGTTAATGTGGCAGACAGAAGCACAGTCTGTAGAGAGTCAGAAGAGTGTTCGTTCAACTTTTCAGCGATCTTTACAATGGCTTGCTGAAAACCCATGTCTAAAAGTCTGGAAGAACACAAACAACAGAGTAAACAGATTAAGTTTAGTTTGTTTCAACATCTGCTGGCCATGAAATATGAGAAAATATATTTATACAGCTATAGGCTGCTGTGGCATTATTGTGAAGAAAAAAAACAGTTTAAACAAATTTAATTGTTTTAACAGATGATATTTTTAAACCTCTAATCAGAGCTTTCTGTGAAAGGTATGTGAACATTTGGAGTTAATTTGTTCTTCCATGATGGCATAATAGTACCATATAATACCAGATCTTGCATTGCAGTACCATATAATACCAGATCTTCCATAACAGTACCATATAATACACGATCTTGATCTTCCATAACAGTACCATATAATACCAGATCTTCCATAACAGTACCATATAATACCAGATCTTCCATAACAGTACCATATAATACACGATCTTCCATAACAGTACCATATAATACCAGATCTTCCATAACAGTACCATATAATACACGATCTTCCATAACAGTACCATATAATACCAGATCTTCCTTAACAGTACCATTTCAT